TGTAGCCCCATGGCACAGAGCCGCCACCAGCAGGCTGCAGCCCAGAACGTGGCACACAGCCCGGCACACGGCCTGGCCACAGAGCAGCACACGGCCCCAGGCTGCTCCAGCCACACTCCAGCACTCAGCTGTACGGGGCTGCGCAGGCCTCAGCTCCTCCGCTTTCATGCCACTGGGCTGAGTTTCGTTTTTTTCTCTTTTTAAAGAGAAAACCTCCACACTCCCGAGGGCAGGGGACGGGCGGCTGCAGGACTCACCGGGAGCTCACTGACCCCGACAGAAGACACGGGGCCACACAGCTGCCACCACCCTGCAGAGCCGGGGCCGCTGTGCACGCAAACAGGCGCTGGGAGCGCAGGGCCCGGCTCGGCCCCACTACCCAAACTCCAGGGGAGAACGGCCCATAGCCCAGCCTGGCTGCAGCCGTGCCCCTGGGGAAACCCAGAGACTGCACTGGGCCCTGCCACCCCGGGGCTTCAGGGAAAGGAACCCCGTACAGCCCTGCCAGCACCTCTGCAGAGCTCCCTGCCAGGCAAGCCCAGCACCCCAGGGGCAGGGCCAGGCAGGCTGCAGTGGCCCCAAGCCCACGGCCAGCCCCAGCCCCGGGCTCCTCATAGGCTGCTGGGCACAGGCCTGCTGCTCTGTCGGTGTTCAAACCGATAAGAGAAAATAAAAGTCTGCCTCACCGTTTCAGGAGAAGGAAACCAGACGGTGCCACGGCCCACGCAGCAGTGCCTGGGCCAGCAGCAGGGCAAGGAGCAGGGGAGAGCAGGGCTGGGCCGGCTGTCCCACTGCTGCCGTGCCGGGCTGTGAGCGGCCAGCGCTGCCCAGGGCCCCGGCACGGCGTCCTCCTGGGATGGCCGCCCCTGCCCCGGGGGGCCACAGGGGAATCCCGGGAACGCGAGGAAGCCTGAAGCACCCACAGGCCCTGAAGTGGCAGAGCATCACCTCGCGTGGCCCCATCCAAACGCAGCGGCAGCCCCCGCTCCAGGAGCTCCCAGGGAGGGGCCGCGTACCTGCAGCACGGAGAGGCTGGTCTGCCCCGAGAGGCTGAGCTTCTCCTGCTCCGAGGGGTACGCGTTGAAGCGGTGCTCGTACAGCCACTCCCGCAGGATTCGCACGGACTCCTTGGGCAGGTTGCCCCTTCTCTTCCTCTTGTTCGACTGCGACGGGTCCAGAGCCGCGGCGCCGTCGTCCTCTCCGAGGTCGCTGTCCGACATGGCGGGGCTGCCCGCGGCGCGGTGCTGCTTCGAGCCTGAGGGGGGAACGGTACCGCGCGTCGGGGCGAGCACCGGCACACACGGAGCTCCGCCCGCCGCGCTCCGCCCGCCCGAGCGCGCACGGCCCGCGGAGCTACGGGCGGGCCGGACCGGGCCCGGCTCCCCGCGGCGGACGGAAGACGAGAGCGCGGGCGGGGGAAAGAGGGGGGCCGCGGCCCCAGGGGCGTTGATACACGGGGGTTCCGGGGGACGGCGGGGCCCGGCCGCTGTCAGCAGAGAACGCGCCGGGAGGGGCCGAGAGCGGCGCCGCCCGCAACAGGTACCGGGCCCCGCAGGGCACAAAGCGGGCGGCGGGGGCCCGCCCCGCTTGCTGGTGCTCGGCAAGAGGGACGGAAACTCGAAACCGCGCGGAGAGCCAACGGAGACCCGAACTCGACCTTCCCCCCGCCCCCCGCGACCACCACCACCCGCAAAAAGAAATAAAAACCGACAAAACACGCCCCGGCCCGCGAACAACTGCCCCGAACTGAAGCCCCAAAAGACAAACAGCGCCGAGCGCGAACAAAACCCACCGAGCGCACCGGCCCGGCACTCGCACAAACTTTTCACGCCGCCCGAGGGGGGGCGACTCCCGGCCCGGCCGCACAAAGGGAGTGAGGCCGCGCCGCGAGTCCGCACCGCCCCGCCCCGCACTGCTCCGCACTGCCCCGCCGAGCCGCGCCGAGCCCCGCGCCGCCCCGCACCGCCGCGCACGCAGCCCGCGCGGGACTCCATGTTTTGCGCCGCTCCGGCTGCGCTCTTACCCCCGAGCCGCCGCCGCCGCCGCCTGGGCCCTTGCATGGGCAGCGCCGGGGTCGCGCCGCCGCCGCGCCGCGGCCGCGGTCGGGGGTGCGGGAGGAGGTCTCCCGCAGCGGCGGGGCCGGCGGCGAGGGGCCGAGGCGCCCCGAAAAGTTTGCGGGCCGCGGCGGTGACAGATGCCGAGACAGAGTTCCCTTTGTTCCCAAGGAGGCAGGAACTTGGGCCGGGCCCCCCGCCCCCGGCCCGCCCGCCCGCCCCCGGCTGTCACCGCCGCGGCCCCGCGGCGGCGCGGCGGAGTTGCGGACGGCGGAGCCGGGGCCGCCCCCTCCCGCGGTCGGCGCGCGGCTCCTCTCGGGACGGCCGCCGGCCCCCGCAGCGAGCCCGGGGTCCGCCGCCCCTTCCCGCAGCCCTGGCGCTGCGGAGCCGGCTGGAGAGCGAGCGGCGGGGAGCGGCCGGGGGTGGCGGCCCCGTAGGCCTCGGGCCGCCCCGGCACCGTCCGCGCCGTTCGGGCGGTTTTAACTCACGCGGTGGGAAATCGGAAACGGCGCCGCGGCGCTCCCGTGCCGGGGACTGGAGGGGGTGGGAAGGCGGCGTTCCGAGCGGCGGAGCGAAACGGGAACCTCGCTCGGGGGACGCGTGGGATCTCCCCCGCCCGCCGGCACCGCGCGCCCCGTCTGTGTACCGCCGGCGGCGGCACGCGTGGCTGTGGGGCCGCTCCTCGGAGCCCGGCGCGGCCGCGCGAGATCCGCACACCGCTCCCGCACGCGGCTCCGCGGGGCGGCCCCGCCGCGATCCCCGCTCGCAGCCGCTCTCCCTCGACGTTCCGCGGCGGCCGAATGAGAACCGCTTCGTTTCGCTGCCGCTAAATCCGCCACGTCTCCCGTGAACCCGCACCCCGAATCGCTCGACGCAACGCTACCGCCCCGCAGCACCCCGCCGCAGCCCCCGGCCCGGGGCTCCCGGGGGGACCCAACCCCCGCTCCCCGAGGCCGGGACGGCCGGGAACAGCCCCGCGGCCGTGCAGAGCCCCCCACCACTCCGGGCCCATTGACATGATAATGCCGTTAAACTTCGGCGTTTGGAAAACAATCGGGCGGGCGGTGCCGGAGGGGGATGCTGCGAACCGATGGGGCCTCGGGGCTGCCGGCTCCGCTCGGGCGCCGCTCTCTCCTTCCTTCGCCCCCTGCCGTTGTTGAATTTGTATTTTTTGATGCAAGGAAGGGGTTCCTGGGGGGGCCCTGCGGGGCGCTGCCTGCCCGAACCGTGCCCCCACAGCAGCAGGAACTGCGGGAAGGACGCAGGGGGGGAGGAGGAGGGGGAGGGAGGGGCCGTGGGGCCGCCGGCAGCGCTGTGCGGGGGGGTCGGGCCTGGGAGAAACCTCTCTGGGGAGGCTGCCATGTGCCAGCGCTGCCTGGGCTGCGGGCAAAAAACGAGCTCCGAGCGACGCTGGCTGCGGCCGCTGGCGAGCCGCTATCTGGGCAAAGCCCCTGGTCGGGGGACTGGCGGACGCGAACTGAGCTGCAGAGGTGCTGCGTTCCTCAGGAATGAGAACGTCCTTCTCTGATGAGAGAGGAGGATGGAGACGGTGTGGCCCAACAAGGAGAGGAGAAAGCAGCTGCTTCAGGTTAACCCCAAAAGATGGATTCCTGACTCGGTGTCCCTGCCTCAACCAAACATTCCTGACATTATGCCTAGTTTTGGTTTGGGAACTGAAACAGCACACCTCTGAAAGAACTGCTTTGGGAGTTTTGTTTTGGTTGTTGTTTGGGTTTTTGGGTTTTTTTAGGAGTAAAACCCAAGAACCCTTCATAAGAAAATGGCTTGCGGGTTTGCTGATACTTCTTCACCCACTGCACATGAAGCAGCTCTGCCCAAAGGGGATGAGATACCTCTGCGAGCACAGCTGGCCGCACGGACGCGGAGCAGCCGCACCGCCGGAGCTGAGCACTGCTGTGCTGCTGGAAACCTGGCCGGCAGCTGCGGAGGAAGCGCGGTTGAAGGGGAAAAGTCTCAAGGATCCGATCCTGTCCCAGGAGCTGCTCCTCGGCTCCGTGTAACCAGCAGTCCCACTGCGCGTGTGCCCTCAGCTCCTCTTTCGCCCGGTTTAAATCAAGCTGCTGTAGCAAATCCCGTTCTTTGCTGTGGGACTCTCGGCGCCCTTCTTTGAACGCTCCCAGCACCGCCGGGTCTGCTTTACGTTCGAGGTGTGGGCGATAAGGGGAGGCGATGGCCAGATACTGCTTTCTCTTAATCCCCGTTTTTTTCCCTCCTAATTCCTAGCATGTGATTGTTTCCTTTTTTTTCCTTCTTCTTTCTTTCCGTGCTTGGACGGCAGCTGAGCTCCGCCCTCCCGGGGGCCGCCCGTCCCCTGGTGCAGCGCGGTACGACGCACACCTGCAGCGCCCATTCCTCCCGAGCCGCGCTCCCCGCGCACCATCCGCGCTCGCAGCCGCGCGTCGCGCTGCCCGCAGCCCCGTGGAGCTCCGCACTGCGCGGCCCCGGCGCTGCAGCTCTGCGGGAGGACAGCCGAAGCCGGAGACGAGCAGCCCGAGGAGCTGGGGAAGGGCTGAAGCGGAGGGGCCGGCAGCGGGCTGAGACCTCCCCGCGAGCGCGGGACTACGAGGTTCCTTAAATGCCCGCGGCCCCACAGCTGCCGGCGGGGGCCGCATTCCCCGCAGCACACACCCGCAGCCCGTACCGCGCCTGCGGTGCTGCGTCCAAACGCCTCCCCGCGCCTGTCCCTCTGCCCGTCCTGTAGCGCAGCTCTCCTCAGCGAAGGCGGTAAATGGTGCGTAAGCTGATTTTGCAGATGGGTCGGGAATTATTTGGCTTCAAAATCAAATTAATTGCCTTCGGGAGGAGGAGCCGCAGCAGAGCAGCGAGGCGGGGGGACGCGGTGTGGGAGCTGGGGCGCGAGCGGCCCCAACCCAAACCCCGAACCCAGGGCTGCGCCAAGCAGGGCGAGAGCACAGAACACACTGCTGTGTCACACCCGTCAGACTTTATAGGCTGCTTCAGCTTTCTGAATCGCTTAGATCACAGGCTCTAAAGCCATAAAACAGCCAAAGAGGAAGAAACAAAGTGTTCTTTTCTTTCTTTCCTAAAGGAAGGGAGTGTGGGAGGAAAGGGGAGAGCTTCTTTCAGTGTTAGGTCCTCTGGGAGAGGGATTGCACTGCTTTGAGCCAGCCGGAACCCCCCCGGCCAGCGCTCCCCGGGCTGCCTGCCCCTGTCCGGACCCTCCTGCTGAGCGAGAGGAGCGGCGGAGCGTGGGGGAGGGGGGAGCCTGGCCGGGATCCCGGGGCAATGGGAGAGGACAGGCGGGCACGCGATGGCCGCACGACATGGAGCAGGGCGCCGGCCCGGCCAGGGGGAGCCTGCGGTGGGGCTGGGCAGCGAGGGGCGGGGATGCGGGTGGCACGTGCGGGAGGCGGGGGGCAGCTCTCGGCTCTAATCGTCCTTGTCCTTGGCTCCGTGCTTCAGGATGCGGGTGAACTCCACGTAATTGAAGTTGCCCTTCTTGTCGATGGGCGCCTCCCGGTACATCTCGTCCACCTCCTCATCGGTGAACCTGTCCCCCATGGTGGTCAGCAGTTCACGCAGATGGTCCTCGTGAATGAACCCTGTGGGGATGGCAGGGACAGCATCGGCGTGTGAGGGCAGCGTGAGTGCAGACCCCTCCACCGGCTCCCAGCCCTGCCCACAGCCTGAGCCGCCTGCAGGCACTCCCCAGGTTGTACCTGTCGCCTCCTCGTCGAAGCAGGCAAAGGCATTGCGGATGACATCCTCTGGGTCGGTGCCGTTCAGCTTCTCCCCAAACATGGTGAGGAACATGGTGAAGTTGATGGGCCCTGGTGCCTCACTCATCATGCCCTCCAGGTACTCGTCAGTGGGGTTCTTTCCTGCCGGGCACAGGCAGGGTGTGGGTCCCGTACCCAAGGCCATCCCCAAGCCCATACTGCCCGCAGAGCTCAGCTATGGCAGACTCCCAAGGATTTTTCCATTGTTTTTAGTTATTACCTGCCCGAATAGTGCCTGAGCTGACCACAACCGCCCCAGGCTGCCCTGGAGATGTGCCCTTGCTGTTGCATCACCAGACTGGATGGAGTTCACCACCTACCCTTCCCCAGGGCTGCAGGGCAGAACCCTGAGCACAAGCTTGAGTATGACAGCTTCCAGTGTTCTTGCCAGCCACCGACTACCACAGGAGGTGGGTTTGGGGGCTCATTCACAGATGCCATGAGCACAGGGATGGATTTCACAGCATCCACTGCTCCTGCTCAGTCCCTCTCCATGATACTGTGTCCCATGCATGGCTCCCAGTAAAGCACTAGGGTTGGCCTCTGCCAAGCATAGCCCTGACGCACTCAGTGCGTGGCCCTCTTGTGCTTTCTTTTCCAGGTGGGACCTTCAGAACAGATCCAGCCACCAGATCAATGATTGACAGAGCTCCTTCCATCATGGCATGGGGCCAAGAGGGGGACAGTGAGGGGGCAGGATCTGGGTGGGCAGCATGGCTGCACTGCTGGGTTTGGTCTCATCCCCAAGAGCCCCTGTGCCAGGCAGTACTGAGCCAGAGAGGCTGGGAAGCGCACATCTTCCCCAAGCTGCCAGCCTGCTTGGAGGGCTCTGCTTGGCTCAGTGCTGCCACCAGTCCAGGACCCACCTGCTGCAGTCCCCTGCCAGCACAGACACAGACCTCACCCATCCACAGCTTGAAGCCATCTCCCATATGGGACTCTGTGGCCAGCAGGAGGCTGCATTCTGCTCCATCCCTTGTGGAGGAGCCTGTGAGTGCTGGGTTGGGAGCCCCCTAACCACACTGACCCAGCCATGCAAGCTAGCATGGGACAGGTCTGTCCTGTCACACAGGCTATGAGCAACAAAAAGGCTTTGTCCTGGTGACACTTTGGGCTGGCACCACTCCAGCCCCCAGCTGCTCCTTGTGCAGAGCTGCTCCAGCCCCAGCAGAGGCAAGGACCTGTCCTTACCAGTGAATGCAGCTGTAAGAACAACAGACCCTTGGGCACCTCCACAAGCAGACTTTCAAGGCCAATCAGTGCACCAGAGGACGTCTCTCCAGCTTTTGCAGAACCAAACTGGCCCAAAGCAGGAGGGTTGTGCCCCAGTGCCACCCCAACAGCGGGCTCACTGCACGCTGACCAGGAGCCCTCACTGTTCCTGTGACCCACAAGCAGCTGGCCAAGGAGGCGTGAGGGAAATGGGACTGGGGGATTTGGGGAGGGGTAGGGGAGGGTCTCCTCACCCATGGAAGCCAGCATGTCATGCAGATCCTCCTTGTCGATGAACCCGTCACGGTTCTGGTCGATCATGTTGAAAGCTTCCTTGAACTCCTGGATCTGTGACTGGTCAAACATAGCGAAGACGTTGGAGGTGGCGCGCTGCGGGCGCTTCTTGGTGGTCTTGGCTTTGGCACGTTTGCTGGACATGTTGGCAGCTGTGGTGGCACCTGGGGGCAGGGCAGGGCTGTTAGAGGGCAGCAGAGGGACACAGCTTCCCTGTGTTGCTGCACAAACGCCACTCACCAGCTCTATCCCTCAGTTTCACTGGCTGTCACCAAGTTAGGCAACAGTGAGATAATGCGGTCGCAGGGTAGGACGTGGGGACAGGGAGACCCGGGCTTTGCCGAGCACCTTGTGAGGTTCCAGGAGCAGCTCTCTGCCCCCGTTCCCAACGCGTTGCAGGGCTGTCCCCGTGCCCACATCCTCTGCCCCCAGACCTGTTTGTTGGCTGCCCCCTCCGTGCCAAACCCAGCACCGCCACGGCTGCCTCCCAGGCGCCCCCTGGGGTTTCGACGCGGCCCCTCCCACGCCACGCAACCACCCCCTCCTCGTGCCGGAGCCCCTCCTCGCAGGGCCGAGGCTTTGCCGGTGCCCGGGGTTATCGCTGCGGGCGCATTCCTCGCATGCCACCGCCTCCCCGCCCCCTCCGCCCCGCTCCGGCTGCCCGCACCCGGATCTGTCCACGGGAGAGCCACCGAAGGCAGGTGGGGGGCGAGGGCAGCGCCGGGGGTGCAGGGGAGCGGCCGCGGAACGGCGGGGACGGAGGACCGCGTAGATGGTAGGTATTATGAGCGACAGGAGACGAGAAGAGCCAGGCAGGGGGCAGGGAGGGGTCAACAGCAAGACCTCTGCACTGCACGGACGGATGGACGTTCCCTCAGCGGGCTCAGCCAGGGCAGTCCGAGACCCAGCAGGGACAGCATCGCAGGCGGCCACTGCCTTGCCGTGGGGAGAGAGAGTGGGCTCTGGGATGAGCAGATGGTGCCCGAACCCCTTCAGAGCCTTCGAGCAGCGGTTTGGAGCCGGATCAGTGCCTGATACACCTGCAGCATGGGCACCGGGGCCCATCCCCAATCCTTATGGAGGGCCCTGCAGCACTGGCCACCACCAGCGCAGCCCAGGAAGAGGATGCTCAGACCTCAACCGGTCAAATCCCAAAAAGTGAAGCTCAGGAAGCTGCCATCAGAGACAGACCCAACACAGGGACCTTCCTGGCATCAGCTGCCATGCAGCACGGCCCTGAGAGAGAACCTGGGTGAAGTCAATCCACTGCCCAGATTCTTGTGCTTCCACCACAGCCACTGCTTTGCAGGCAGCCCCAAACCTCAACTTCCCCATCAGGGACAGGGAGTCCCTGCCTGCTGCACGGCAGGGAGCAGTGCTAACAGAAAGTTCCTCAATGGAGAGGAGGAGCAGAGCGTGCACCTCATGCCTTGGTGGCAGCGCTGTCCCTGTGCTCTGCTCTGGCAGGGGACGCAGAGCAGCTGAGGGCCACATCACATTTAGCAGTGCAAAGCAACAACAGCATTGCCCCTGCCTGACCCGGGAGTGTGCCTGCCTGTGGCCCTCCCAGCAGTGTGGGCGCCAGTCTGTGTGGAGGAGCTCAGTCCCCCCCCGATCTGCTGTGCCAGCGCAGACCCAGCAATAAAAGCTCTGCCGGCAGAACGCAGCTCAGCCAGCACTGTGCCTCCCAACCACAGAGAGCAACGAGCAGAGCTATTAGCAGAAGAAATAAGCAGGAGTTTTGCTCTCACCACATGTATTAATACTACCCAAATATTTACGCAGCTCCAGCTGTGACCAGGCAGCACGAGCATGGCTCGGCATGAGCCCCCCGAGAAGGTTCTTGCTGGGGGGACTAAGTGCAATTTGGGCAGCACGTGGCTTTTTTCTGTTTGATTCCGCCGTTTGATCCAAAAAATTCCCTGGGAAGGTGTTTGGTCCTAAGGACCAGCTCCTGATCGTTTCATTTCTGCTTCTTGGGGCTGCCTATGGCTCAGAAAGAGACCCTGGGGCTGGGTGCAGGGAAGGTGCTCTGGAGGAGGAGTGCTGTGCAGCTGACCCAGGCTGTCCGTGCCCTGTTGGAGGGCCCGATGGCAGCCCTGCACCACGCAGCCCCAGGGTCTGGCTGTGAGGCACTGGCTGATCAGAAAACCCAATGCCAGAAGAGTTTGGGCAGCTCTGGGGCATAACGCCCTGTACACTGCGGGGCCGAGCATCCAGCTTCTCTGCAGCAAGAGGAAAAGCCACAGTGATGGGCCCTGCTTCGGCGAAAGGCCCATCCCAGGGCTGCACCAGACCAGGATCTGCCCATCACTGGCAATGGAGCCACGGAGCTCCGCGCTGCATGAATGCAGCCACCAGCTCACCTTAGCCCTTCTGCCACCTGCCTCCTGCATCACAGGGCTCGTACCTTCCCCTCTAAAGAGGCAGCCCCACACAGCCACGGGCCCGGCTTGAAAAGTTACTGTAGAAAATAGATGCAGTTTTAAAGAGAAGGAGCAAAGACAGGCTGTTATCAGTAAAATAAGCTGCCATACATTTCCTCGTTGGTAAAAAGCAAGTGGCTTCACCCCAGTGCAGTGCCTGGCCATGCTGGGGGCGGGCAGACAAGCTGAAGGGACATCCTCATGCTGCCAGAGCATGAGGCCCTTCCCAGCCCCTCCTGCCCACACCAGATCTCATGTATCACTTAAGCCTCTTGTCCCAAGAAAAAATAATAAACCAGAAGAGAGCTGCTGCTGGGCAAGCAACTGCAGGGGCTCCTGGCAGGCCTGGCTGGCATGAAGCCACTGACACAAAGGGGACAGGGGGACCTTGGCCTTCCAGCTACTGCATGGCTCAGTGTGGTGCAGATATGATGCTGGGTGCTCCTGTGCTGCTAAGGGTGTCCCAAGGGTGACTCCTGCAAGGCTGGGTATCCAACTGCAGAGAGTGCCACTGTGCAGGGCTGCTTGCGGGAGGGAAGGGCATCATCTGCACGACACCCCGTCACTCAGACACAGGGCATACACCTTCTGAAGGTCGATTCAAACAGCCTGCACTGCTCCTGGGTACAGCCCCGTGGGAATAAACAATGGCCCCTTTGAGAGTCTGTTTCAAGCAGCAGCAAGCCAAAACACACAGCCTTTACTGAAAGGTGAGCGTGCTGGAAGCTGAGCTGCCCGTTCCTCCCTGCCACTAGAACCCCAGCCGGGGTGCAGCACTGCTCGGCTCTGTCCTCGCTGCACACACAGGATATTTGACCACGCATGTGGAACCACACCACACACGGCCCTTCTGCCATGCGCAGGGCTGGGAGCAGAGAGCACCCAGCAGCACGGGGCAGGAAGGCTGCGTGGCCCCACGCTCTGCCGTCTTCCCAGGGAATGAAGGAGCTCACCTCAGGGGGGAATCCGGCCTCAGTGCGTTGGGGGGAGGCGGCAGCAAACTCCTCCTACAGTAGCGCAGAGCCTGCCAGTGACGAGGGGAAAAAATTCGAGTGACTGAAGAAACCGACCATCTTTGGTAAGCAGCAGCGGTTGTTGACACTTCAGGATGTTCCGCTCCAAAGAATGCTGCCCCAGCTGCTGCTTTCTCCATGGCTAAGAACCTCCCTGGCTTTTATCACGTTTGTAAAAACATTTTGTTCCAAAAAGGCATGCAGGGAGCGGAGCGGAGGAAGCCAAGGGGACCTGAAGTTTTCTTGGGCAAAAAAGTTCCCCCGCCTCTGAGGAAAAAGAGCTAAATAAAGCATTTCTGCCTTCTGACAGTTTATTGCTTGAAGTTGCTCACAGGTCTCGTGGGAGATCTCTGGAGCATCACGCACGCATCTCGGTTTGGGCTCCGGCCATCAGTAAGACCCGGGGAACAGACGCTCCGGGAAGGATTGAACAGAGCCCCGTGACAGCGCGGGACGGGTCCCGGCTGCGGTCACCGCAACCGCCGAGAGCTGCGCTCGGGATCGCTCCTCGCCTTCCCCCGGGGAACGCCCCGTACGGGACGGGGACCCGAGAGGCGCTCCTCTTCCCGCGAGGGTCGCGGGACTCCTCCCGTTCCCCAGGCTGCAGCAGCGCGGTCGGTGCCCCCCGGCTGCGCCCTCGTGCCCCGCAGACCTTTCCCGAGCTGCCCCCCGGCCGTGCCCCGCATCCCTCCCACCCGCTCCGTCGGGGCCGCCCGGTTCCCCCTCGCCCCGCCGCCGCCCAGGGTCGCGGGCAGGTCCGCCCGGACGGCACCGCTCTCACCTGGGCCGGAGCGGGGCAGCTGCAGGACCGACGGCGCTGCTCTGCGCCCCCGGCCGGCGGCGCGGCCCTAGGCGCGGGCTGGGGTCGGGGCGGTGCCGGACCCCTCGTCCCGCCCCTCCCGGCCCGGCTCGGCCCATACAAGGCAGAAGAATGCGGCGGGGCCGGGGCGGCGGGGTGCGCTGTCGGCTGTACATAGAGGGAAGGACGGCCGGGAGGCCCACGCGTGGCCGCTGACACGGGAGATGGAGGGGGCACCCAAAGGTGATTCCAGCCCGTGGCTCGTGGGGGCTCCGACGGCGACCCGGGGGGATTTGCCTCGTTTCCCCGGGGCCAGAACTCAGCCTGCGGAAGGGTGAGGGCGAGCGGGACCAAGAGCTGACACGAGCTGCGGTTCATATCGAGCCGCAGACCTCATCCTCCCACCGGGAATCGCCGCTCTGGGGCTACGCGGCTGTGGGGCTCTGTGCTGAGCCTGAGCTCCACGTGGGGCCTTCCCGAAAAAATTTGCCTTTTAAAGAAAAGAAAGGAAAGGAATAAAAAAGGAAATAACATATCTCAGGAGGCAGAGAGCTAAGCTGCAGCCCCATGCTGCTCCCAAGGGTTTTCCGTGCATCCGCCCTGAGCACAGCGCTGTCTGCGCAGTGCCCGGCAGCCCCAGCTCCCAGAAGCGAGCGGCCACTGCGCCCCGGGGCAGCAGTGAATGTGGCAGCTCCTCAAACTCTGTGCAGCCTCTGCAGTTGGATGCTCACAAAGGGCTGCTGCTGGGATGCCCAGCACACACTCCTCTTCCTCCCTTCCAGCCTTTCCCACCTTCCCTTCTCACAGCGCCTCCAGCTCCCTGTTTGTCCTCCTTCCCTGACTAAACGTGTGCTGCAGAAGGGAGCCTGTTCCTATTTCCACATCTTCTTCTCTCACCTCTCTTCTGCCTCTTCCTTGTTCTTTCCTGCTATAATTTTACTTGGTTTTCTCTCTGGAGGCAGTGGGTCATGGAATGGAGCTGGGATAAAACAAGGCAGTCTTTTAGCACGTCAGTTTTAGATCAGTTTAGACCCAAGTGTCCCATCATCACACAAATGCTTCCACCCCTGGAAATTGGCACTGATCAGGAGCACAGAGTCAGGGATGCTGAGACTCCTTACAAGCCAAGGACACAGCCCAAAGTCCTGTCGTCCTTTAGACGTGGCCACTGCTGTGCTCAGTGCCTCTCTCATTGAAGGGTGAGGGCAGAGGGGGCTGCAGTGCCCCAAATGCCTGCAGAGCCCCAGGGGAGCAGGGTCAGAGCAGCCCTCAGCAAGGGAACCTGTCATGGTAGATGTCACATGTGAAGGTTCCTATGTGAGATACAGCACGGGTCTCCTTCTGTCACATTACCCTCTTCATAACAGTGGGAGTCCAGTGATTCGGAACGCCCTCTTCAACTTGCAGCAAATGCCTCAGAGCATGCAGTCAGGGACCTGACAGATAGCTGGGGCAGTGCTGGGAAGCCCACAGGTATGTTACAGAATTGGTATTTGAATGACACGACAGCAGTCCAGGACAAGGACTCCTCTGCCTGTGCAGGAGCTCAGCGGCCTGTTGCCAAAGTCAATAGCAAGGTGCTGCTGCAGTGCTTTGTCCTGCAAGCAGAAAGCAGCCAGGCTCCAAAAATGCTGAGTCAAGCACATGCTGGGCTGCACAACAGAAAAGCGCAGGGCCTTAGGGCCACTGTTTGCTAATGGAGAAATGATCGAAGCACTGGACTTCACTGCGAGTGGGGACCTGCACGGACAGGCAAGCAGGGCGCAGCTCCCGAGGAAGGATCTGCGCAGGGCTGGGGCGGAGGCGGCAGGTCGCGCTGCGAGGCCGGGTTCTCCCAGCGGCTCCGAGGTGCCCGCACGTGCGGGACACGCGGCGCCCGCAGCTGGCTCCCGGGCCGCAGCCAGCCCGGCCAGCTCCGATCGCTCCGCCGAGAACGCGCCGGTTCCGGAGCGCCCCGGACTCTCGGCCGCCTGCAGGGCTCAGCAGGCAGACTCCGCCCGGGGCCGTAAGGAGCGCCGGCTCGGCACCACCCGCCCCGCTCCCACGGCGTACCGAGGCGAAGCACCGCCTCGTGAGCCCTCTCGCCCGCCGTAGGAGGGCGGGGCGCCCGCTTTGGTCACGTGTCTCCCGGCAGCGCGGCGATTGGCGGCCGCGGGGCGCGGGTGAGTGACGGCGCGCAGCTGCCGCTTCCGGGGCCGTGCGGAGCCGCCGGGCGGGAGGAAAGGAAACGACAGGAGAGGAGGGAGGATGAGCGGCGCGCGGCGCAGGGAGGAGCCGCCGCACGCGCAGCAGCACACGTTGGCCAACGGCGGCGGGGCCGGGCCGCGCGGCTCCGTGTGGGGCAAAGCGCTGCGCAGCGACTCCGCCTGGCACGACAAGGTGCGCGACTCGGCCGGGCCGGCGGGCGGGGGGGCGGCGTTGGGAGGCTCCGGGGAAGCGCCGCCGGCACCGCCGTCCTGCGGCCTCCCGAGCTCCGCTTCCGCGCTGTCGCGGTCGGCGGTCCTGGCCGTGCGGCCGTCGGGGAGCCGCTTCGGTCTGTGGGGCGCTGGAGGCGGGGGCTCGGGGCCGGGCCGCGGCTTAAGCTGCTGTCCGACAATTGACGAAGAAAACAGAAGCCTCGTTTCGCTTTCTCTCCTCAGGACGAGTTCTTAGATGTCATCTACTGGTTCCGGCAGATCATCGCGGTTATTCTGGGAGTCATCTGGGGGGTGGTCCCTCTGAAGGGATTCGTGGGGATCGCAATGTAAGGCTCCTTCCCTTTTCTGCCCCGTGTGCTTTCCCACGTTTGGTCCCGGCTTCTTGTCTGTTTGCAGCCTGTGCTGTCAATACAGCTGGGCGCAGCCCCTGCGTTTGCCCTGTGTCTCAAACCCAGCATTGCATTCCAGGCTGCTATTTGTCAGGAAATTCAAACCCTGACACCTTCATCAGCTCCTTTCTCTCTCCTTGAGCTAACGCTTTTTTTACTTTGTTTTTCATTTCTTTTAGCGTTGTTAAAGAAGATGGGGGTGGAAGGAGCTCAGCTGACTTGTGAAGTGTCCTATTTGTGCATGTGTAAAAGGGGGCTTCAGAGAAGTGACAGGAAACGCTGGGGAGTCTCTTTGCAAATGTCTCTGCTTAATTAAGGCCTCTAAAAACAGCTCTCAGCTCTGGAGCTTTTCTTGAGGAAAATGGAATGACCTGCCCTAGCTGTGCTGAGGGGATGGAGGGAGTGTTGCTGCCTGCCTCTAAAAAAACCCTGAAGTTTGGAACTTAAGGAAATGAGCTGCAGGACAACGGTGCTGTAACAGAAGCGCAGTAGCTACATGCAGACAGTTGCATCTGAAGTGCTTCTGCTAATAGATGATGAGGAGAGGAGTTGGGAAGCATTGCTTGTACTCAGTCATCCATTTGTTCCCAAGGCGTCTTCAGGTGCATGCGCCCATTTCTGTGCTACGTGTTGGAAATAAAAACGTAGTATAATTTGGGAAACTAAAAGCTTCTAGAATCGTGCATGCAGTTGCTCTATGATATGTGGTTGAGCAGCTGCTTGCAGCTTGCTGCTGGTATTTGAACCTGCATATCTTCAAGTAGGGCCCTTCCTATAGCTTTCTGTCCAGAGCACATACTTGTCCCTTGTGAGATTGTCTCAGCCTGAAGTTAGAGTAATATAAGGCCAAACTGGTCTAAGAACAAATGGGAGGTCTCATTTTTTTTGTCTCCATTGTCTCCTAACACTCCTCCCTTTTGGCAGCCTCAAAATCAGTGTGTGCAAGGAAATGGGATTCTGTGGTGGGAGCAGGACTATTGCTGATCTGCAGGATTTGCAGATCTGCTGGTATTTCCAGCTTCTGATCGCTGTCTGTTGAGCCTTAGTTGCTGTAGGTTGTGCCTCATCCAAACCCAGCTGCTGACCTGAAGGGGCTCTTGTAAGGAAGACACTGAGCTGCCCGTGTAAAGTGACAGGGATAGTGCTCCCTTTCACCTCTTCTCTGCTGACATTTCATACGTTGCCTTGTGGCATACTGCACGTGCAATGAAAATGACAGTTCCTAATCTTTCTTCCAGATTCTGCCTGATCAATGCTGGTGTTCTGTACCTCTACTTCAGTAGCTTCCAACAGATAGATGAGGAGGAGTACGGGGGCACGTGGGAGCTAACAAAGGAAGGATTCATGACATCTTTTGCACTGTTTCTGGTAACATCTCTTGCTTTCTTTAAGTTGGTTTGTGAATCGTGTTGGTAAACTTTCTGAGGGTCTGGAAGAAAAGCTGGGGCACTGGTAGAAGAGATATGTTAACATCATCTGAGAAGCGAGCTTCATGGGAAGAACTGCCATCACTCCCCTTCCCCAGGTGCCTGAATGCCACGTGACTCGATGTGGTGGTGTTCCTAGATGGCTGGAGGGACTGTGGTGGGACTTATTGTAGCTATATCAATCACTCTGGAAGCCAGGCGAGATGAATGGCACCATTTGTGGTGCATGGAAATCCCAGGGCCTCTCTGATGCACTCCCAGAACTGGAATTCAGACCCCCCATCAGTGAGGCATGAACTTGTCAGTGTTCAAACCCTCTCCAGAGGCATGAAAACAACCTTCTCTTCCTTTCTTCTCCACAGGTTGTTTGGATAATCTTCTATACTGCCATCCACTATGATTGACACGGTCTGCAGCTTTTGCCTGTTAAATCAGTTGTCAGTAAATCAGGAAGGTTTTAATAAATCATCACCTTTAGCAGACTGGTGGGAAGGCTGGGGAAGTCCAATCAACTTCCTTCTGATCAGCATGGAAGAGCCCCACGCCTTCTGCTGGAGCAGCCAGTCTGACTCCGTTTTATATACCCGTTAATTATTAGAACTATCAAAAGCCATTGGAATTTGTGGAAGTGGTTCAAGACTGTTCAGATCTTCGACTTTCTGCGACTCTAGCCAGTAATTGTATCAAACTCCTGTATGCTGAAGATGGAATCCGTTAATTTAATGTATGTGTGCCCTGTATCTGGAATCTGTCATTATGTTCTCACGTGTCTTCCACTGTTGTCCTTTATGCAGACAGGTTTTTAAAAAGAGATTGCAAGGTTGGTGAAGGAAGGCCCTGCAGCACCAGAATATGA